ATCTGCCTGCTCTGCTCCCCACTCTGTCTCTGGTGAATCCTCTCACCCTCCACATCTCCAGCCTGTACCCCAGTCCTGTATGAATAAATAAATAAATCTTTAAAAAAAATGAGTACTGCACAGACTACAGAGCTAAATAGAAAAATGCTCAAATATAATGCAAAATGAAGATAAAATGCAAAATTGGGCATGCTGTGATGGCAGCTGTGTTTGTTTCTGAACACGGGTTGGTAGGAGAGACAGCATTTTTTGTAGGGTGGAATATTGTGGGCTTATTTTAAAATTTGTATTCAGTCTGTATGATGTTATTTGTGCAATTAAGCCAAATGCTAATTGCTTGTTGCTTAGTTCAGGACTCCATTTCAGGACTGAGCCCCGATTCCCGGAGAACCCCCTGCCCATGAAAACATATGGACCAAAGGGCAGTTCTGGACTTGGTAATCTTCACAGTTCCCCACTGTTTCCATGTGAGTTGTTGGGGCCCCACTTGTCTATCCTATGGGCTCCCAAACTCTGATTCTCAGCTTTTCTTGTGCAAATCCTCCCTCCAACCAAGCAGGTAAGCCAAGCCTCACTTACCTGGTGCTTGCGGTTCTCCATGTTCATGGTGCGGGGCTTATAGGTTATCTCATAGGGCTTGTTCTGCTGATGGGGCTCCAGGGTGATGAACTCTGGCCCCTCCCAATGCTCCCCCTCAAAAATGGGGTGCAGATTCCAGGTCTGGTTGGTACGGTTTGAAAGCAGGATGGTCTGTGTGTGCTTGGAGCGCACCTGACAGCTGAAATTTACCACCTGGAAGAAGATGACGAGTCAGTCAGGCAACAGAACTCACAAATCTGGAGTACAAGGAAAAGGCTGAGGCTAAGGATACATATGTTGTAGTTATCAGTAAAGAAACGTCTTTTTAAAACCGAGAAACTGGATGGGATCACTAAGAAGTAAGTGTATTTACCAAAAAGAAAGCATTTAAGGGCTGACTGGGACACTCTAACATTAAGAATCAGGAGAGGTGATGAGAAGGTGCTACAAATAAGAGGAAAACCAGCAGGAGCTAGTATTCTGGAAACGATTTGTAGGAAGAAAGTCTAGATCAAGGTGTCAAATCTACTGGGAAGTCTAGGAAGCTGAGGGGTGAGAACTGGCCACTGGATTTAGCAACCGAAACACTGAGTAATAGTATCATAAAAAGAATTAAATAGAATAATGAATGAGAAGAGAGTTCAGCAATATACCCATATGTGTCTAGTGACTGTTTTTGGCAATATAGAGGAGACAGGACGACAGGATATCTTTACAACAAATGGTGCTACAACAGTTGGATATGTATATGGAAAAAAAATTTGGTCCATATTTTGTACTACATAGAAAAATAACTCTAAAAATATGGAAGAGCTTTATGTAAAACTTGTGTCATGAGCATACAGAGATCACAAAACTCAGTAATAAGAAAATAACCCAGTTAATAGAAGATTTGAACAGACATTTCAATAAATAAGATCTGTGGATGGCCAATAAGTGCCTGAAACTTGCTCAGCATTATTATTCACTAGGCACATAAAAGCCTTAAAGTGGCTAAAATAAAGAACTGACCGTATCAGGTGCCAACATGCATGTGATACAAGTGTAAATGTCAAACGTCTCTGGTGGGAATGTAAAGTGACACAACCAGTTTGGTAGGTTCTTAAAGAGGGGAACATCCATGTATCCTATCACCCAACCATTCCACTCCTAGGTATTTCTCCAGAAAATTAAAATGTATGTTCTTGCCAGGGCTTTCGAATATTGTATGATTAATTTATGTAACACACTTCATAACTAAACCAGGTGTCATTTTTACCATAAGCAACGTTGCCAGGAAAGCTCATGTTTCTAGGAACGGGACTGACAGAGGATTAACCCAAGCCTTTTTTTTTTTTTTTTTAATCTAGAGAAGAATGGTATTCACCCTTTACTTGAAAAGCTTATGATAGAATTTGATCTAGCCAGAGATGTGACTGCAAGCCTCCTTGAGGATGTAATGCTTGGGTTGAGAGCTGAAGAATGGATAGGAATTAACTAAAGGAACTGGGGGAAACGTATTCCAACAGCGACTATAGCACGTGCAAAGGTCCTGTGACAGGAAGTGCAGGTTTGAAAGTTTGATGTGTGCACTGAGGACCGCCTGAACAGTCATGTATTTCTAACCTGAAGGCTTAAGTTCATTCGGGCAGTTCCTACTGACCTCTTTCACTGCAGGGGGTCCCACACAAATTCCAGACAGGGTTAAGCTTAGAGGATTGCCTCCCTGGATGAAACAGAGCAAGTTTTTGTAAAAACTCTCCTTGCCCATCTTGGTGGGACGGTAGGTCACTTCGAAAGAAACCTCCATGCCTGAGGTAATATAGCCTTCTTCTGGGCTGATGGAGAAATGAGGCTGAAAATTTCTGACGTCCCATTTAAACCTTTGCCAAGACAAAAGAAGACAGTTAATTAACGACTGTGTGAGTGCTGTGTGTGCTCGCTGCTACCAGGAACAAAAGGCTCCTGGGGTTTTAGTTGGGACCCCCAGTCCCTTGTGTACTAGTGCGACTGGGGAGGAGAAAATTCAGGGGACAAAGCAGAGGTGGGGTGGGGCAAGAGCTAAGGTCACTCTGGGTAGCTTGACTCAGCTCTCTGCGAAGCTCAGCAGGGAGGGAACTGGGACCTCTGCTCAGCAGACACACTGGGGAACGATATGACAAAGGCTGCAGGGCCAGAGGGTGGCTGTGTTGGGACCAGTACTCTCCTGAGCCCACTCTCTGCACTGACCCAGGAGGTTCAGACACAGGAGGGTATCGCTGCCTGTGAAAGCTGTCATGGCTCTTGGTGGCACTGGCATCTGACGGTCCTGTCACTGCTCATCTGGCACAGGATCCAGGTAGGAGACAGAGGCTGATGGTGCAGACCAGTTCTTCCAGTGCCAGGGTGGTGCACAGTTCCCTAGGCCTGCTCCCACTGGGCTGTGTGAAGGGCACCCCCTGCTGGCCTGCAACCTGCACTGGTCTGGTGGACACACGCAGTGTCGGTGGGTGGGTACCTGCGAGCAAGTGGGAGAGCCTGGAAAAGAGAGCTGCCATACATATATCTGGCTTCCAAACTCATCTTTGTGACCTTGGGCAAGTCATGCAAAGGCTCTGAGCCTCAGCTTCCTCTGTGAAATGAGGACAACACAGTACGTACCTGAGAGGGGCATGGGATAATTCAGTGGGATATTATATGTAAGAATGCTTGGCATTGCACCTGCGTGCTTTTGAAAAAGTTACTGAATCTCTTCACACCTCAATTTTCTCATCTGTAAAATGGGTCCACCAAAGCACTGTTCGCCTAGAACTGTGGCTGGGATGAAGGGCAAGAGGCATGTCTGTGTAACAGGAGCTCTCATACTAGTATCCTCTCTGTACTGATTTTACTAAAGGCAGCAGCGATCAGCCCGGTGAGGCCACCGCTACCCCTTCTAGAGGGCAGAGGACGGAAAAGAAAAGAACAGCCACTCTGGTGAAACAAGTGACCAACCCAAATCCAGGGTTGTCCTCAGCGCAGGGACAGAAAACTGCTCTGCTCCAACCTGGGGGTGAGGGCACTGTCCCCCTACCTTGCACCCAGGTCGCCTGTGTTCAACATGAGGATGCGACGTGTGGCTTGTGTCTGGTACACGACTGGCCCAAAGGGAATGTGCTCCTGGTCCAGGGAGATCTCCAGGGCCTGGCAGCAGCCACTGAGAAGGTACAGGGGGCGCAGGAGCCCCATGCACTCCATGAACACCTCCTCGTGGAAGGGGGGGACACGCCTCTTCGGGGCAAAGATGACTTCCAGCTTCTGGACTTGCTTGGGCTTCAGCGTGATGTTGTGGAAAGGCACCAAGGCGAAGACCTGGACAGGGCAACACTGAGACTCAGCAGCTGAGCACGGGTGGGGTGAGGGCTTCCAAGGCCACATTCCCGGCAGCCTGGCTGCTGCTGGAGGGGGGGCTGTCATATTCTGGGGGCCAACCTTACTTCTGCTCTCTCTTACCTGCTGTGTCACTAATCTACGGTGGAGATTTAGACCTCCTGTATAGAATGTGTGGCACACAGTCGATGTTCAATAAATGTGAATTCTCTGCTCTCTGGTGGAGGAAATACTAAAAGGAACTAGGAAATCTCAGCGCTCCCAGGACTCCCTGGATCACACTCCTCAGTGTGCTGGTTAAAACCCGATTCCAGTGTCCCGCCCTCCATCCTGTCCTAGGCCCAGGTGAATTGGCCCTGGGCGGCTCATGTCTTCTACAGTTTGGATTCCTGTGGGTCTTCTCCTCCCTGTGTCATGGTAACAGTCAAAAGCAGCTTTCCAGAAACCTGACCCCTTTCCATCCTAAGTTCCTCTTGGTCTAGACCTGTGGCCACAGGGAGTGAGAAAAGGTTGGCAAGCAGCAGCAGGAGACTGAGCACAGAGATTTATTTGTCAACATACTGACATCGGAAGTCAACGCCAGAGTGATGGCGCCAACACAGGTCACTGTGGGTGTCTGGGTGTGGCTGGCACAGGGGCGTCCCCAGGGTGTGCACTGGGCCTCTGCTGGCTGAGCTCTCCCAGCCAGTCTTTCCGAATCCCGAAATCCCCAGACGGCCCACAACACCGAACTACATGCATACATGTAGCTTTCTAAAGGCGTGACTCCTCCAAGCTCCTAAACTGCAGCCCATCAGAAACACCCCACCCCCGCGGCTCCCCGAAGCTGCCTTTCGTTGCTTCAATCTCAGTGCAGACCTCTCTGTGGCGCAGTCTCTGGAGCAGCCCTGATCCACACCCTGTCCCTGCCGGTTTCTGTGTCGTCTGTGTGTCCTGTGAACTCCCACCAGACCAAAGTCTAGGTGGTGATGACCTGGCTGTGGGCTGAATCGTGTCCCCCCCCTCCCCCCAGTCTTGTGTGTGTGGGATTTGAGATGGGGTCTCTGGGAAGCATTTAGTTTCATGATAAGTAACTAGGTCACGACAGCAGTGCCCTCATCACGGGAGCAGTGTCCCTGTAAGAAAATACTCGGGAGAATTCATTCCCCTCTCTCCACTGCACAGGGATGTAGCCAGGGGTGGGCAGAGAAAGATGGCACCGGAAACCAGAAACAGCCCACATAGCTCTCTGAGCACCTCCTGCTTCTAGAATGTCAGAAAGTTAGTGAAAGTCAGCCCCAGCTGACTGGACATACCGTCATGTGCAGCTGGCACATACTGACTGAGCACGTGTAAGGGCCAGCTGCATGTCGGGATCGCCTTGGCGTGAAGTGCGTCCGCTGCTCCCAAAGGGCAGTGGCAACATTGGGGACAGTAAGCTGGGGAGCAGGCAGTCAGGACTAGCAGCTGCTCTGTCCTGGGAAGGCAGGACACACGCAAGTGTTCACAGGGGTAGTCTCCCATAGGGGCCAGACTGGCAAAAGTAGGGAAACATACTTGTCCTTTTGGCCCAACAAGTACACATATGGGAATATGCCTTAATTAGAAAATCATGAGTGTCTATAAGTTTGGTTATGTGGATATTCCACTGTTGCTGACATACTGAAAGGGGTAGAAACAGAGGACTGGCCCAGCTGTGTTAGGGAGGGAGAAATAAACAAATGGCTTGGAGAATGTTTAGGATGTATTACTGTATGGTGACAGGAGGACTGAAAACAACATGAACATTATGATTTTATTTAAAAAAAATGCATGGGAGAAACATTGAGAAAAAAAAAGGCACCAAAATATTAAGTAATTATGGGTATGAGCTTATGGGCCAAATATTTTATGACTTTCTGGCTATATTTTTTGTTATTTATTCATTTATTTCTAGCTGTGTTTTTTGAAATCCAGATCTACTGAAGCCCCTCAAGTCTAGTTTCTATTTCATGTGGCTGCTCGCTAGAGGGATGTGGCCTCCCTAGGCCTCGAGTTCCTCATATGTAGAGTGAGAACAATATAAGCACTAACCCTACACTGTTGGAGTGGCACATGGAAGCTCTGCTCCAGCTGGCACATGGCTGGGGCCTGAGAACTGTGCGCTGTCAGTGTGGCTAACAGCCGCTTGTCACACCAGGAGGCAGGAAGGGGCCGCCGGAACCCCGTGTACCAACCTTGGGGTCCTGGAGTTCTGGAGTCGAGAACAGGACTGACTGGCTAAATGTGAGGTGGGTCTGGCTGTTGTTTACAACGCAAACTGTTTTTTTCACCACTTGTCCTGGCAGGAGAGCTCCTAACTTCACAATCTTATTGGCTGGATCGATGACAGAAAGCTGTGGGGTGAAAAAGAGAACAGGGAGGGAAGATCCCTCAGTGAATGCTCTGTCTGTCCGGGGTGTGCAGGTGTGTACTGCCTTCCTCATACCGATGGGCATTCACTTACTCAGTAAACACAAAAAGCCCAGTGATCAACCAGCACACAACTGCGTCATTACAGCTGGGTTGGAAGATGTGAAGGGGAAGTTCAGGACACCTTGAGGACACACTGCGAGGGGCTGAGCTAGACACTGACCACTAAGAGCAGCCCCCACTGGTTCAGATGATCAGTCACCAAACTATGACTCCCCCAACTACCTTTACTCCCAGATGATGTTTAAGTCACCTCTGGATTTTTCCAAATTACCAAAACGCATTGGGTGCTGAATGAGTGATGGCTGAATGAGTGAACGCAAGAACGAACGATGAAGGAACCAGAGACCCTGACTCTGGCTGGGTGTGGACACACCAGAGGGCAGCGTCCTGTTGCTCCTCTAGCATGAAGAGGAGGCTGCCAGGCACACGCCCTTCCACACCTCCGGGGTGCTGATGTGTCCCAGACCTTCCTATTAAAGTGCAAGTGCTCTCAGAGGGTATCTTTACTAGTCCTTGGAGAAAGGCACTAGCACAGGACTGGGCCATTTCCCTCCCTGAGGAGCACCGGCTGGAAGGCTTGGAAGGGGTTCCCTAAATCAAATACAATCCCGGGGCCTGTGACAGGCTGGAGACTTTTTTTTTAATTTTATTTTTAAAAAAAATTTATTTATTTGTGCATACAGAATGGGGGTACAGGCCAGGGTGCAGAGGCGGTGAGAGGCCTCACCAGAGACAGAGTGGGGAGCAGAACAGGCAGATGGAGGAAGCACACTGCTGAGAGGAGCAGCGGGCAAGACAGGAGAGGTCTGCTGTGCCATGTGGGCGGAGACTGAACTCATGCTGAAGTGGCTTTAGCTTCTTAGTGCTGTGTTTTGACCTGCTGCGCCACGAGGGAGGAGACTGGAGACTTAATCAAGGTGCTGTTAAAGAATGATGATGCCTGGGTCCTCCCTGGTGGTGCAGCAGGTTAAAGCGCAGCACTGCAAGCAAGCCACAACCGCTTCAGTGCGAGTTTGATCCCTGGCCCAGGAGGTGATCCACACAGGCGAGGCAGACTTCTGATCCCTCTCCTGACCCGTCCACTGCTCCCCTCAGTAGTGTACTTCCTCCATCTGTCTGTTCTGCCCCCAACTCTGTCTCTGGTGAATCCTCTCACTGCCCCTGTACCTCTGGCCCCAGTTCTGTAAGAATAAACAAATATTAAAAAAAAAAAAAAGATGATCCCTAATTGCGAAATATGCCTGCACACATTGTTTAAAACAAATTTTATTAAAAACCAAACATATTTAAAAGAAAACATGCTCTAATGTGGGAGAAAAGGACACACTTGGGATGTTCATCTGATTGGTTTAGACTTCAAGACAAAGTCTTTCTGGGGCTCTGTGTCCCAATCACTAGCACCATCAGCAGAGCGATGTCTGGTACTGAGTAGCACCTATGAGCTCCTGGAATCTGATGTGATAGCCTCTCCGTGGACTGGCTAACCTCTGAGAGGGCAGCCTGGACTAGAGGGTGTGGAGAGAGGAGGGAAGGCGAGGGTCCAGAAGAGGTTGGGAAGTGCCCAACGAAGAAGGTAGCGAGCCCAAGAATCTGCCAGGCAGCTCTCACCTTCATTTCAGTGCCTCTTCCTTTGATTTCAACTATTTGCTGTGAGAGCCCATTGATCTCAAAGGGGATGAGTTCTCGATAACTGATGCTTTCTCGAGGATAAAAGGTGATTGGAATCTCCAAAGTCTTTCCTGGTTTTATCACATCAACACGGAAGTTCAACTCGAGGTAAGGTGTACTGGAGTACAAGCAGTCTATGCTGGGGAAAACCAGGAGGAAGGGCCATCAGCACTGAGCAGGCCAACCCAGAGAAATGGACTCGGTCCCCTTGGAGTTCCTGCCCAGCTGTCCTAAGGCCACGGAATTTGAGGCCTGGCGGGACTTCAGTGCTGAGCTGCCCTGGGCTCTCCAGGGCACACCCTAAGGAACTGGCAACACCCAGTGTCCCATGCACGGTCTCGGGCTCCTTGGCCCACACTTCCACTCTGTGTGTCCTTTCTCTCTCAGGAAGGCCACTCAGGTTTTGTGGCTGCCCATGAGGGGAAGTGCTTCCTCAAGTAGCTGGCTTGCAAAGCTCTGCAGTCAGGCAAGAGTTTGGATCCAGGCTGTACTACTAACCAGCCATGTGCCTGTTTCCATAGCTATACAATAGGGGTAGTGACAGCTGCCTTGTAAGGCTGTGGTAAGGAAATGACATAAAGCGACCATAGCAGCTAAGTGGGTCACAGAGGAAACATTCCATAAAGTGAGCTCCTTCTCCTTCTCGTCTCCCTTTTCTTCCTTCTTCTCACCCTCCTCCTCCTTTGCTCAACCAGAAGAAGGATCATCAGGGCCCTCCCTGGTGGCATAACCGGTTAACGTGCAGCACTATGAAGCTGGCCACAGTGACTGCAGCACGGGTTCGATCCCTGGCCAGGGAAATGAGCCACATGGTGCAGCAGATCTCTCCTGTCCTGCCTGCTGCTCCCCTCAACAATGTATTTCAGTCACTCTGCCTGTTCTAATTCCCACTATGTTTCTGGTGAATCCTCTCACCTCCTGCACCACTGGCCTGTACCCCAACTCTTATATTCATAAATAAGTAAATCTAAAAAAAAAAAAAGAGGGATAGTCAAAGATCACATCCAACCTACTTTCTGTGACAAGGCACCTAGACCTTTCCATTACGACCTTTCCTTGTCTGACTTACAGGTAATTAGAAGAGCATAGTCAAGCAAAAAAAAAAAATGGAGTCAATGACTTAAAAATAGTAAGACTCAGATTTAATTAAATCATGCAAGATAGAATGTACGTAGGTAAGATCTTAAATTAGTATTTAACTACATGATACACTTGTCATATAGCAATCAGGATCACCATCATCACTATCACCTCCACCACCATCACCACCACGATCACTATCATCATTGTCACCATTACCTCCACTATCATCATCATCATGATCACCACCACCATCATTGCCATCATCATCATCACCATGACAACAGCAGTATCAGCAGCAGTATTAGCAGTAACAGTAATTGGGCATTTCCTGAGTTCCAGTCACTGGTTTTGGTCTTCTCATTAGATGAACTAATAGTTCTACAGAACAGGTACTGTTTCTATCCCTCAATAGAGACAGGGAGATTGAGGCACAGAGAGCTTAAAAAATTCACTTGAAGGCCAATTAGTGAGGGAAGAGCTGGGATTTAAACCTACACCCTGTGCTAACATGGTAGCTAATAGACCAGCAGCTATTAAATAACTAAAGAACACAGTGCCTCAGCTGCAAGAGCCACACTTAAGGTGTCCACACCACCATACTGGACAGTGCAGATAGGTTATTTCCATCATACGCCCTCTTGCATAGTACTGATCTGGAGGATCTCTTAATGAACACAAGTCTCTGGGACAAGGCCGGGAGATTCAGTCCCTGTTTCATTAGGTCTGGAATACAGCCCAAATCCCAGACTGGAACATTTTATATGGGGATGATCTGAAGAGGCTGGATTTGAATCAGAAGGCTTAGACTCAGCCTAGACTTAGCATTTATTGTAAGACCTTGCCTAGAGAAATTCACTTTTTAGCTCTCCAAACTTTAGTGTTCACATTGAACTCCTCCATCAGGTGAGGACATAAGCCACTAGACATCTTACACCATCTGGCATTGATCTTTGCATTTCAGGTGAGTAGTTCATGGCTAGCAAAGTAGCAGCATTAGTGGTGAGGATGAGTGACTCAATTCATAATCACTTCTGTTTGACTACTTTCCATAACCCTTCCTCTGTTTTGACAGGACTTTACCTGTGTGGAAGCTGCAAAACCCCAAGGAGCTATAAAATCAACTGGAGGCTCTGGGAAGACTGCTTACCTCATGGGTGTTTCTTCCTTGTTGGTGATGACCAGTGTTTGTTTGTATGGAGGCATCCCGGCCTGGTAGATGAAGCAGGTCCCAAAGTTGTAGCTGGTAAAGGAGAAATGGACGGCCGGGCTCACAGCACAGCCTGTGATGCTGCACATGAAGACTGGACCATGGCTGATCTGGGGGGAGGGAATGGCAGGGAGAGCATGACTAGAAGTCAGAGGAAACGGACCTGAGGTCCTCGGGTGAGGGAGGGGTGCAGTTGCATGCTTGAAAAAATTATAGATCCCTCTGTGGCTGATTCCCTGAAAAGGATTCATCAACTTCAACTTGATGTTTACTTTTGCTTCTTTCCCTTTTTGCAATGAGAAGTTCTGAAAAAGACAGTTCTCAAAGGGGGTGGGCTCCTTTTTGAATTCTCTTTTTGTGACTGCCTTGGGATTACAATTACAATCTTGGAAAATGTTATATATTCATTCTCGTTCTCTCATTCATACTCTCTTCCCCCCACCCACTTCCCTGACTTATTTAAATTGCTGCAAGATGTCCTAGTTCAAGGACGCTTTTCAAAAACGTTAGGTTCTTCCCAGCCCTTCCTGAGCAAACACACTGCCCTGAGGTACACACGGCCTCAGAAACTTTTCACGTTGACACTCATATACCAGGTTCCCCAACCACTGATGAGGCCTTTATACTAGAGGTTGTGAAACTCTCTCCAACACAACCACTCTCCAGGAACTTCTGACAGGGTGCAGACAAGGAGCACAAAGAATTAACCTGTCAAGACAGAATGCTGTTGAGTGCTTTCAGTGGCAGGCAATGTTAAGTTGTCTCACCTTGATTCTGAGTTCCAAGCCCTTCAGGACACACTTCTTCAAGGGTTGGAAAGACAGCAAGGCCTGGACACTCTGTCCCACATCCACGCTGCCATCAGCAGGTGAAAATTCAAAGTACTGCAGTAGAGCTCTCGGGCCATGTAGCTCTGACTGGAAGCTGAAGCTGAACTTTCCAGTATTGACAAAACGGAATTCACACTGGACAGGTTCATTCAAGACCACCTGAGAGATCAAGAACAAAGTAGTTACTAGTGTAAATGCAAATAGCAGTTCCCTTCTCTGGGATCAGGTGATGTAACATGTCGGAGCACAAGATACTCTGGGAAACAGGGATGGCAGAAGGTGTTAGTGGCTGAACATCATTAGCCTAATGTGGCTACTCAGAGCTGGGGGCCTCCTGTAGCTGAAGAGTGAGAGGTGATTTAATTCTTACATCTCCCTTGGTATCCAAACATCCTTCCTAGATCTTTAATGTTCTCTACGCATTCTTTCCCACTTTCCCTTCTTTACCATTTCTCCACCACTACCATTCCTCAACCTGGAAAAATAAAAGTTTCACATCAAAGTTATGTATTCATTCCGGGGATGGAGAGGCTCCATGTTTCTGTTCTGATTTCCCTGGCACTGAAATGGAGAGATTCAGATAATAATTGACTTTCCCAGTCAGTGTGGACACACACACAGGACACACAGGGCTCTCTCAAGTCTTTACCTCATAGAAGTTGACCATGTTGGTTTCGTTGGGAGTTAAGACAGTGATGGACCCAGTTCTGTCCTTGCACTTGACTTCTGCATTCATACTGTAGCCCTCAGCCTTAACATTTAAGGTCAAAGGGCTGACTTTCTTTTTCACATCACAGATCAAATTAAAGTTCACACTTCCACTGTGCTTTGGTGTGAAGAAGATGTCAACTGGGAATCTGATTGGGAAAGCAGACGGCAGATTAACTCACTAGCTTAACTTGTTAAAACCTGCTTTAAAAACTGACAAGTGCTCTCCCAATGGCACAACAGGTTAAAGTGGCTCTCCGTAGCCACTGCAGCACGAGGTCTATCCCCAGCCAGGAAGGTGACCCACAAGGCATGTCAGACCTCTCCTGACCTGCCCACTGGGCCCTCAGCAGTATTTCAGTCAATCTGTCTGTTTTGCTCCCCACTCTGTCTCTGGTGAATCCTCTCACCCTCTGCACCTCTGATCCATTTTTGTGCATAAATAAATCTTAAACAAACAAACAACCACTGGCGAGCAGAAACACAGAGAAAAAGGCACTGCAATTCCAGATGACAGTGATGAAAATTTAAGATTTGCCAGGATAGACTGAGCATTACTTGTGGGTTTAGTAATAAAAGTAGATGGCAAGAAAAAGATTACTAACATAAGAGAAAACATCAAGAACAAGGGTGTAGGAATCTCAGCGTTCCATAATTTTCCAGGAAAGTGAACACCAGGGAGTAAGCAGGCCAGAGTTGAACAGCTGATGTCTAAATGTTAGCGTTGGAATGCTCTAAGGGAAATGGATTCTTCTGGCTGACAGGTCTGGCGTCCCTGCCATATTGAGAGGGTGCACTGCTGGGCACCTCCTTTTCCTTTACCTGGACTGTGGTGGGATCACGCCTTCCATGGGGCACACGACGAGGCAGTTGTTGAAACCCTCGGAAAACCGGGAGTTTTCCTGGAAGGCAAAATGGAAGCCCTGCTCCTCCTTGTTGATGATCTTCACCGTCTCCCTGGCTTCTCTGCCTGAGGGGGAAACACGGGCCCTCAGTGGGGGGGTCTCAAGCCTTCTCCCCACGTATCTCTGTAGATCCTGCTCTACCAATGAGAGGATGCTCCCTCCAGCTTCTTTCCTCTGATGGGGCTCACGACGGCTCTTCCTCTTGTTCTACAAGTGACCTTCTCCGTTGGGGGGATTCCACCTCTTCCTTCTAGGATTTGACTTCATCAACTGCCTGCTCCTGCCTGGTAGCTCCTGTGTTGGTGACAGTTTTCCTGAAATGCTGATGTCACCCTTTTCTCTCCTTGTTCCTTCAGACCTAAATCTTTCCTAGTTTCTCTAATGGGTCTCCCTGGCAGGCCCCATATCCCCTTCACTCTGTCATGAGTTTCTTGACAAATACATCTCCTATTTCTATTTTGCTTTTTCTTACTTGTTGGGGCCATTGTTGAACATTTGTTTTTCTATATAAGCTTGAGAATCATTTTACCCAATTCTCTACCCCTCCAATCCTTTAGAAATGAAGGTTGCCGGATTTAGCAATCTTTCAATGTAAGTATACCCCCAACATTGCATGGACATACTTATGTTGATATATTTATTAACTAAAATTATTCACTGTTACCTGAAATTCAAATGCACCTGTGTATCCTGTATTTTATCTAGACACCCTAGCTGGAGTCTAACTATAATTTGATTAAATTAACATTTAGGGCCCTCCCTGGTGGCACAACAGGACTACATACAGCATACAGCACTATGGAGCTATCTGCAGACACTGCATGACGAGTTCAATCCCTGGCCAGGGATGGGGTGAGGGGCAGGTGGAGATAGGGAGGAGGGGTTGACCCACACGGCGCAGCAGACCTCTCCTGACCCATCTACTGCTCCCCTCAGCAGTGTATTTCAGTAGGTCTGCCTCTTCTGCTCCCCACTCTGTCTATGGTGAATCCTCTCACCCTCCACACCTCTGGCCTATTCCCCGGTTCTTGCATGCACAAATAAATAAACCTTTAAAAAATTTACATTAAAAAAATTTACATTTAATTTTTGGAAAACTGATCCGATCATGTTTGGGAGCTTGATGTTACAGTTTTCATCTAGGTCTTGTGCTTTTCTTATAACATTTATTCCGAAATATTATTGTTTTGTCAATATTCTATTTTTTTTTTTTTTGGTTTCTGTTTGTAGGTACTTACCATTAAAGGAAGGCGAAACTACTGATTTTCGCATACCTATCTTGCAGTCACTTACTAAATTGTCTTGTGAATTCTAGTAGTCCTGCTTTTCACATACAAAATCATCAGCAACAGCAAAATGAGACAGCTTTTCACATACAAAATCATCAGCAACAGCAAAATGAGACAGCTTTGTCTCTCTTTCCTCAATGTTTATGACAATTATTTAATTTTCCTATTTTACTGTATTTTCTGAATTACTAAGAAAGTATTCAATAGTAGTAGTGGTGATAAGCATCTTTGTCTGATTTTAATTAAATTGGCTTTAGTGGTTTATTATAAGATATTTGCCTCGAGTGTGGTTAATCTTTGTTTTTCCCTTTTTGTTATTAGAGGTTTTTCTGAGGGAATGCTGAATTTTAACAGACTTTTTAGTATATATTATTATGATCACATGGTTATTCTTCCTTACCCTGTTGATGTAATGGTTCTATCAAAACAAACCACCTTGCACCCCTAGATTACATTCAGCTTGTTTTTATTGCTATTATTCTCATGCTACCTCACTCACTGGCTTTTTGTTCAAACCTTCACAAAACAACATAATGTCTCTCCACCTATTTGTTTGTATCAGTATGAGAAATGTTTGTAAAATAGCACATGTCAACTCAAGTTTATTTTCCTCTGATGTAAAGGGAAGAATGAGACAGTGTGGGTGGGAAGAGTGAGTGTATTTTTCTTTACATGACACCAGATAAGACTGATTTATAAAGAATATTACTTTTAAAAAATGTAGTGAATTAAAAATAAAACCAAAACCCTCTGGATTTATTGTACTGCCCAGCGCCCCCCATCCGTGTGGTAGATTCACAGGGTTATCCGAACCTGGCGCTCACCTCTTCTCTTCCTTCGGGTCCCTGCCCAGAGGTCTCCTTCCCACTGCCGACTTGGCTCTGTTCCTCCTGCCCTGCTTATTCTTCTCTAGCTCACTCATCAATAGCTACATGCTATTGTTTTGTTTATTTTTTTGGATGGTGCTTCCTATTGCAAGGATGGAGCCATCACGATGCCCTCCCACCTCACAGAAGGGTGGCACAGGAGGGCTCAGTAATACTTGCTGAGTAAGTGCGAGGAAGGTTGGCAGGGACCCCCGGCTGCCAGGAAGCCACACAGCCCGTAATGTGGGGGCACGTGCAAGTCGGAGGGGGCTGACAGGACACTTGGGACACCCATCAGCCAGGCCGAATCCAGAAGGATTTGGACCAGGGACGCTACATTTCCCCAGGGTACCAGTGGGTGGGCTTAGAGGATGAGTGGTGGAGACCGAATGGAGAGGTAAATAGACCAAGGCCCTGTGAGGGCGACAGAGGCTGTCTGACAGGCCTGTGTGGCACCAAGCAGGCCTGCTCCTGGGGCTCGCCTCGGGGTCAGTCCTCTCCCCGTGGTCATGCCAAATCCAAATATAAACCAAGGGCAGCCTTACCAATGAGGAGAGAACTGAAGTTGATGTGTGACTTGTCCAGGCTGATGAGAGGGTCAGTGGCTTTGCCTACCAGCAGGAAAGGGACTGTGATGTTGTGTTCGGGGACGGAGAATGTCCAGAATGCTTCCGTGATGTCCAGGTGGGAAGGCATGAACTGGAAGGTAATCTAAGAAGACAGTTCGGAGTGGGGTGGTCAGAAGCTTGTCAGCATCGGGGTTTTGAGGGAGACACCACAGGCCATTGCTACCTGTCTACTCACCCTATGCGATCGCGTAAACTGGATTAATATTCACGCCTGCTTTTCCTTTTACTGGGTCTACCCAGTCAGAGCCTCCGCTGGCTAGGCTGCCATATTTATTACCATGTCTTTGGATGGCATGCAAGATTGGAGATTCTCAGATCAAAATCTGAAAATACGGTTTTTCCTGTAAAACCTGGGAGAACTGGCAACACAGACCTGCTCATCTGCACCGCAGTCAGCTGCCAGAGAAGTGGCCATCCCAGCCTTGGGCCTGCATCCCTGTGACTGTCCCGGTGGCCTGCTTCATTCATTTATGTGACCTTACTGAAGGCATCTGATTCTGAGATTTTTGTTTCATGGATAAAACTTTGCCTCCAAGAGTCTCTGCAGAACTAACAGGACACAGGGCCCACAAATATGTGTTGGCTGGCAAGGTCATGTTTCTCTAAGTAGAACGATACCTTACCCCATAAAGGTTAGGACTCAGTCATGCAACATACTCCGCCTTTTTGTTTTGCACTTTGGCCTGACCAGGTAAAAACACACCTCTGTCCTTTCACTGCTGTCTGTCCCTTGGTCAAAAATAACTCTTGACGTTACTGTATGAATCCTGGCGTCGCCAGGCGCTGGTATCCTGGCTCTCCCTTCCATCCTCATTCATCTCAGTCTTTCAAACTGCAAATTCTAGAGCTTGTTGCTGCTCCCTGGCCACACAAGACCATTCAGGTCTGTTTGGCTCTGAGGACTGCCCCCTGTGTGTAGTGCCCATGCAGGAAATACTTGCTGGCCGATGCACCGTTCAGTGACTCCCCCCACTCCACCACCTGTGGTCTGCAACGCACTGGCTCTGCAGAGAGGGACAGAACGAGTAAGCCCGAGTCTTCATTCACACACACCTCGGCTTTCTTTTCAGGGTAGATGAGGCCCTTCTCTGTCAGGCACGTGAAGGCTGGAGGGTGCTGAAGAGTTTCAGTCTCTTCAGAGGTCCAGCAGAAGGAGTAGGTGCTGCTGGTTGGGTTCAGGATTGTGAAAGTCCTGGTCAAGGGGGAAGAATTGACAGTAGGGAGTGAGAGAGGGGCTGAGGATCATGAGAAACTCTTGGGGGGCTGCCTAAGCACAGTCCCTAGCACAATGAAGGGCTCTAGACCTTCAAATTATCCTGGAAACAAAAACTGCATCTCCTCTGGGGTCTAAAGTATGACTAGACTTCTGGATGGAGACAAGTAATGTGGAGCCAAGGGTCCTTCTGTGTCAGAGTTCCTCTGTGGTCAAGGTGGTGGCGAGGGATTATTTTCAAGTCTTTTGAATTTCCCCCAATGTCACGTCGAAGGTGACAGATTTGTTCTCTGCATGTAGCAATTCTCTCAACTCAAACCTCTAGAACTCAGGTCAAATCGGTCTAGCTTGCTTTACCAAATTCTTCCTCTGAGTATTCAAAAAGGATTGACTGATTTGAATCAAACCAATCCAACTCTATACAACTCACCGAAGATTCTTCCCCCCGACACCTACGCTGGTGAACTCAATCACGCGGGTGCTTGGGTCAAGGGGCCCCGTCCCAGGCCACCGGAGGTCTGAGCTGCCACAATAAGCACTGTTGTAGTCTGCATCTGTCAGGTCGAAATGGCAGAAGGGCAAGATGCTCCGCCCTTTGGCTGACAGGATTGGGCCTTGCTCTCCAGGTGGCAGGTTGGGAATCCTGAAAAGATAAGGTTATTTTTATTCATTCATTTGTATATGTATTTTTTAAAAGTATTTATTCATTCATACAGAACTGGGGTACAGGCCAGAGATGCGGAGGATGGGAGGAGCCACCAGAGACAGAGTGGGGGGCAGAACAGGCAGATCCACGAAGTACACTGCTGAGGGGAGCAGCGGGCGGGCCAGGAGAGGTCTGCCACGCCATGTGGTCACCTCCAGGGCAAGCGGGGATCGAACTCATGCAGAAGTGGCCTAAGCTTCTTAGTGCTGTGCTTTAACCTGCTGCGCCACCAGGGAGGGCCCATTTGTATATGTATTTTAAAAAATTATTTATTTATGCACACAAGAACTGGGGTACAGGCCAGAGGTATCAGGGGTGAGAGGAGCCACCAGAGACAGAGTGGGGAGTGGAACAGGCAGAGTGACTGAAATACACTGCTGAGGGGAGCAGGCGGGTCAGGAGAGGTCTGCTGCACCATGTAGGTCAGCTCCCTGGTGGGGGATCAAACTCATGCTGCAGTGGCTGCAGATAGCTTCATAGTGCTGTGCTTTTAACCTGTTGCACTACCAAGGAGGGACCCGTATATGCATTTTTAAATTAGTTGTGGCTTTCTTAATTGGTTGGACATTAATATTATATTATATTCACCAGGACGTGAGCTCCATGAGAGCTCTCTGTGAAAGCTGGCTCTGTCTTGATCAACAATCAAGCAGCATAACCCCAGTGCCTTGAGCAGAAGGTGATACATAGCAGGTATCACTTGGTGGATGGCTGAGTGGAGGAACACGTAAATGGCAGAATAGGAGCAGCCTGAACTCTTCCACGAGTTCAGCCTGGCTCCTTCCACTCCACTACGGTCTCAAGTTACTTCCTCTATCAGTGGTAGAAAAAACTCCCTGCTGTAGTGTGAATGCGGTCATCCCCTCTGGACCCTCTCATAGGCCTCTGGGATATGAAACAATCTAGAAACTCTAAATGAGTATCCAGAGCTCCTTGGTGAAGGTAAACTGGATGTGAACAGACTTACAGCCCTGGGACCAAGTTTAGGCAGCACAGGGGTGCGAGGTTCCCCACAGCATAATCACAGGGATGCCATAGGCTCCTAGGTCTGTTTAGCATGATTCTCAGAATCCTTCTAAAAGGGGGGTGGTCTTGGAGCTTTCGCAGGACTGGGCACTGGATCAGTAACTTTATTGCCGGCTGTGTTTGGATTGGCCTTTTTCTGACTGGGTCTGGTGCCTTTTGGATTTCCTGGTGTTCCATGGGCCAGGCTCACCCTCACACCGACACTCAGTGTTTATTGTGCTCCAGATGCTGCTGGAAGCACTTCAGTGGAACTAGTGCATTTGTTCTTCATGAGGACAATTCAAGGTGGGTATTGGTATTTGCATTTTACAGATAAGGAAACTGAGTCTCAGAAGAGGTATGAGAAAGTTCCCTAAGTTCATGCCAGCCCAAGGACAGGAATGCACCTGATGCCAACCATCCGTCTGCCCATGGAGTTTGGTGTGTGGCTGGGTGGGAGAGGTGGGCAGGAGGAAGGGTCTGAGAGGACTGAAGAACAGCTTGAGGACCATATTCTTCTTGTTCTTGAAACAAGGGCCAGAGCCTCTTTAAATCTTTCCAGAGGGAAAGGTGGCCATCTGGGGCTAGGGCCTAGGGTTGAAAGGGTGGGACAAAAGAGGGGACAGGGGATGCAGAACTTTGATCTGGGGAGCTTGTCTCCTTACTGGCAAAACAGATTGCACTCGAAGTCTCCAACCTCCAATGGGGAGAATTTCACTTTAAGCTTCTGAGTCTTGCCCACGGGCACAACGCCTGAGGAGGGCTCCACGGTGAAGGGCGGCATGGGAATCTCAGCCCAGTGCTCTGTGGTGCTGTCCAGGCTGCTGCCCGTGTGCAGCGTGCCCTGGCTAAGCTGAAGTTTTTGACTGGAGCCTGGGGGCAGACAGAGAACCAGTGAGACAGTCTGCATTGGCAGTGGGGGGCCAGGGAGCGAGCAACCCACTCACAGGTCCTTGGGGTTCGTAACAGAAGCAGGCAGATTTAACTTAAGGGACTTGAGGCCAAGAGTTCCCACATAGCTCACAAGAGACTCGTGAAAAGTATCTCTATTAATTCCATCAAGTTCTCAGGGCCTTGCCTGCTTCTCCCTCACCACTTAGGAGCCCTTGGGGCAGTGTTGCCCGCCACGGACAAGGTTCTTCGCCTGCACACTGCGGACATGGTTCAAGTCCAGGTTTTCTGTCATCGCATTCACCTTGGGACTCTGGCATTGCGAAGCTGACAGCCTTGGCGGTATCTTCTGAGATACAGTTGAATTCCAGCTGCACACTTCCTGAATTAACCAAATCAAGCCTGTGATAGATCAAAGAACACTGAAGATACTGTCCTTCTCTGCTCATTATCTAATAGGTTACTTTACTTTTTCTTTAATTAAAGTTACTCTGTGTCTTAACAATGTCTACCAAAGACACTTTTTAAAGCATTTTATTTGAAGCCATACCTTTTTGTACTGGTTAAATTTCCTTTAAAACAATTGGAATATACATATATATATGTTGAAAGTAAAACTACCCAAGTATTTAGCACTTAATGTCATCTTGAATACCACCAGCACCCGAGGCAAAGGGCTTTCAGAATGCATCAATGTAGCTCTGAATAGGTCCCATGACTTCACCTTCCTGGGACATAAACTCCACAGCCCCTGCCTATTTGAATCATGTCCCATCAGACAAAAAATGTGTTGTGGTCAGAGATCATCTGATCCCTGACTAAGATGCCTTCACTGGCTGAGACACAGACTATGAATTTATAAGCACTGGCCTTTACCCTAAAGAAAGTTTTTCTATGTGGGGGAACACTGATGGCACTGAACACCTTTCAAACAGAAATTCTGGTTTGGGCCAGCTTGGAAAACTTGCTTGTAAAGAGCCAGCGTGTAAGTTTTTCTGGTTTTGCATGACATGTGGTCTCTGTGGTGACGACTCACACCACTGAGGTGGTGAGAAGCAGCCAGACACAACATAAAAAGGACCGGGAAGGCCGTATGCCAATAACGCTTTATTTTCAAAACAGGCACATGGCTGGATTTGGTCCCTGGGCTATAGTGTGCCGAGACCCGGAGGTCCCATTCCCTGCCATACAGCGGCGGTGCTGTAAGGTTGAGAAAGCACTTAAAGTGCAAATACAGAGTGAACTGAGAAAGTTAATTATGAATTTTTATAAAGTAGAAATGTCAGTGGCCTACATTTTTGTGTTTGCAATCCTAAAACCCTAAAATCCTGGCTACTGGTTATTTATGCTCCAAAAGTCAACGGGGCACTACTGTGTAGACCACAGGCTGTCTCAGAGGGGAACCTGTGCCTGGCCACACCCCTGCATCTAAGGGTGGCCAGGGGCTACTGAAATGCCTTCCCCTTTTCTAGGACCATTTTGACTTTGAATAAATGTTCAGACTCTGTTTCCCTGGAAACCTGGGCAAAAAATGCCAGCTGTATCATTAGACACATTGTTTATAGTAAAAATTAACAGATCACATTTGGTCTGGGAGGAATTATGGTAACCTGGTGGGAAGCATCCGCTTTGGGGCTTTCAGAGTGCAGTGAGTCGTGTACTTGGACAAGCTCCCTGCAGGAAGCTATCCCTGTACTGACACCTATGATTATGAGAGATACTGGTTTTTGTGGGTCGTGGGCTTCTACGCTAAGGCGGACCCCATCCCCACTGTGGGCAGAAACAGTTCCTGCGCAGCGCTGTGGCCTGTGCCAAAGTCTGCCCCACCGAGGCAGACAGCCTGATGCTGCCCTTCCGGGAGCCTGTGTCTCCTGGTCTAATCTTGATGTCAAGTGTGGACTACAATAGCTTTGTGGGTCTGATGTCATGGGCATCACCATGACCCTGTGGTGTGTAGAGGATACTGCAGGACTGATGAGGGAGTGAGAGGGTGATGCCGTGACAGGGCTTTTCTGACGAGAGTCAGGACTCACTCAAACGTTCGGGTCTGGTAGACCAGCGTTTCTTTAAAGTGCACATCTCTTGTTTGGCACTGGTACGAAGCAAAATTCACATTGGCACTGATCTGAAGCCGCAGGTCTTGGTAGTTTTCTTCCAGCACTGAATGGGCTGGCTCGGGATCCGTCTCAATCACCTGTAACAGAGGTAGCCGAGCACTTGGGGATGCAGAGCCAGCTGGTTCATGGATATAGGGGGAGACAACCCATGCACATGGGCACCAATCCACAAACTCAAGTTCCAAAATAAATGAGTAGGGCAAAGCTAAAGGACTCATAAGTAGAAAGGGAAAAAAAGGACTAGTGAGGGGCTAAAGAGAATTAGTGAGAGCATGAGCTTTTGTTAAGGGGAAGGACGTCCTAAAGGAACTCTGCAGAGTCTTGTGGACTCCACCCCCTACTCCAGCTTTCTGGACTCCACCCCTACTCCAGTGACTGGAAACTACAACTCCCAGCAGTACCAGGGAGAGAACTGTGAGGACCCAAGGGCGGAGCTAGGACATTTAGGGGATAAATAGGGCACGATTGCATCTCTCGCTCTCTTGCTCGGGAAACGACTCTCTGGACTGCGTGACTCGGTGTGTTCAGTCAGCCTTGGTGTGTTCAGTCAGCCTAGCTGTAAGGTATTGACCCTTTTGTGTGTACCTGCAGTACAACCGAATTGTGAGCTCGCGGGTGAGGCCCCACAGACAGGCAGCCCAGTCCACTCTGGGCTACCCTCTAACACTTCCACTTGTCACCTGGTTGAACTTATTTAGACACTCCACCAGGGTGTGTCCTGGCTCCTCAGCTCTCATAAACAAAAAGCAAAAATATTAGAAGCAAGGGGCAGAGTGATGGGAAAGATACTTGGATGTGTTTTGTGCTCAAAGAGACTTCAAAGAAGGTAGAAAAAAGGAAATATTAAAGCTAGGAATAGATATTAATGAAGTAGAAGGTAAATCTAAAACAGAGAGGACCAACAAAGCAAAAGATTTTTAAAAATTGTGATGAGACTGATCAAAAAGAGAAAGTACAAAGAGCCAATATCAGAAATGAAAAGGGAGACATCACCACACACCCTACATATTTAAACCGATAAGGACATATTATGGTAATTTTATGAAAATACTTATGAAAGCTCAGCTGAAGGACCAGGCTAGAAAAACAATCTAATAAAACAGACTAAAAAACAAAATTTTTAAAAAATCTGGAGAGTCTAACTACTATTAAAGAAACTGAATGGTATTAAAAAACAAAACAAGCAAAAAAAAACTTAGAAAGACCTAAAAACAGAGAGATAAGCCCTGTTAATGGAAAAGACAAATTAATATAAGATTAACAATTCTTCCTAAGTTGATTTAAAAATATAATCAAATTTCCATCAGGGTTTTCATAATACTTGGTAAAGGAATCCCCAAATTATTTAGAAAAGGAAGCTCCAGGAATAACCAGAACACTTGAAAACAAAGCAGTATGGAGACCCAGGCCAATCATGAAGCTCTAGAAGTAAGGCAGTGAAACCTGGCAGAGACTGACAAACTGGCAGTAGGGCAGGATGCAGGACAAGAGCAATGAATATAAGGGAGCATGGCAAGTCACTAGGGAAAGGATGGGTAAAGCAGAGAAAGAAATTTGGCAATATTTGTTATCTAGAAGGAAACTGGATCCTTGCTTGCATCATCCATCAAATCCAGGGGACAAAAGGCTTAAATATCAAGAGCAAAACCCTTAGGTGTGAAATAAAAATAAGTGAATGTTCTTCTCTGGTAAGGAAGGGTTTAAAAAACTAAGACATGAAAAATGATAAATATGAAAGATGAATACATTTGACAATGTCCAAGTTAAGAACACTTTTGTTTATGAAAAGATGCATTCAAGATCCCTGTGCAGGCAGATAGTGGGAACAGAAGAGTTTATTAAAACTGAAATAACACACACAAAGGACAAAAATCACAACTGAAAAATGGGCCAAAAGCATTCACGGTAAAGATAACCCATATGACTGATAATCATCTCAAGAAAGATGCAATTTTATGAGTCATCAGGGAAATGTAAATTAGGCCTTCAGGGGATCACTTCTCACTTATTTAGGTTATAAAAATCAAGAAGTCTGACCATGCCAAGGGTTAGTGAGAACATGGGTCAACAAGATCTCTTTTCTAGTGGGAGTATGATGGGGGTGGACACTTAGGAAATGCCTGGGCCTCAAGCTGTGCAGTTGAGCATTAAGATATCTCAGGATTCAATAATTTCACTTCTAGGAAGATGAACTCTAGCAAATGACACCGGGTTTATGAATGACAGTGTTCACAGAAGTCCTGTCCATGACAACAAAATCCCAAATAACCATCACAGGGAGAACGTATCAATAATTATGGAGTTTTAGACAGCAGTGAAATAGGGGAGGGGCAGCGACAGCCACTGCAACCATATGGATGATCACCTGCCTTTTTGAAAAGCACAGGTAAACAGGACAACTGAACAAAATGCCTTTTAAAATGCCCAGGTTAAAAATGAAGCAAAAAGCAAAGATGAAGGGAATGAGCAAGACTCGGAGGAGTGAGCGCCACCAGAAGGGGCAGGGCGTGCAATGGCCGCGAACCTCACAGGCCACCCGGGGTAGGGCTCCTCCCTGGTATTATGTTATTGAAGAGACCAACCGAGGGGAAACAGAGAAGGCGAACGAAGCGGAGCTCCGTTTTGAACACAGATTACAATGCCTCTAACGCGGGACACGAGGGGAAAGGGCACCATTCAGAGACGCACTGGACACTTTTGAAGAGTAAAAAGGTGGAAGCACCAAGCTCAATCAGCTATCAAGGTGTCACCCTCTGCCAATTAAGGAGCCTGGTGACGTGTAGCGGGGGCTGCGGGCAGCGCGCCTGCAAGTCCAGTCTGTCGCCTTTGAAGGCAAAGTCAGGGCCAATTGGAACTTTTTCTTTTTCCTTGAAAGAAGGGGTGATGAGACACAGACCCTGACGGGCAGCCAAGCCTGGCGGGTCGGCACTTGGTGTCTCCGACTCACTTTTCGTTTCATAGTGAGGGTCCCCGGGGTGTTTCTGGGCATGTCCACCCACTTGACAGTGCGCCTGCGGTCATCCCAGTCAGCCGCCTGGTCTGTGGGGACCTGCAACACGATCTTGGAGAGTCTGCACTTGACCCACATCTTCTTCAGGCTGATGGGTATGTCTGACTTCACAGTCACAACCGTGTCCTTGGAACAGCCGGGGTGGAGGTGGCCCACCTGGAGAAGAACCGAGATTGGTATTTTAGGGAATTCAATCTTGAGGATTCTTGATACCTGATGGCGCCATTCTAGAGAAGGGACAGAACCAAAATCTTGGCAAACTGCACCTTGTTCAAGCCTGTATATGTACACTGCCTTAATCATGTACAGGAGGCCCTTAGAAATAGCATCATATAAACAGCAGCTAATATTTATCAAGCTGTTACCCCAGTTGGACACTATTTTAAACATTTATACAATTTTTATGAATCTCCACAGCAATCCTCTGAAAGATAAAGCTGCTGCACCTATGTTGTAGACAAGGAAAAGTATAACTTGCTCACAGCCAGACCCCTGATGATGGTAGAGGGGCTGGATTCACACCCAGCAGTCTGGCCCTGGTCTCCACCCTCTGAGTCCCCTACTTCCTCCCGGGCTTCTGAACTGATAGTCTCTGCACAAATTAGGAAGGATGTACATGGTACATTAGCAGTTCTCAGCATGTGATCTGGTGACTCTGGGATCCCTAATGCTTTCCTGGGATCTAAAAGGTCAAAACTATTTTAACCATAATAGAGGTTATTTGTCTTTTTCACTTTTATTTTTGAATACAGGACATGTGATATTGCATCAGAGTGAATGCAGAAGTAAATATGGAAATTCAGTTGTCTTCTATTAAGTCAGAGTTTAAAGTGATTTGTGAAAACATAAAATAATGTGATTAGTTTGTGTTTTAGCAAATATGGCCATTTCCATAAAAACATGGTATTTACATGTTGGGTTTAATAATGAATGAATTCAAGTTTTTAAGCAATATCAGTTTTCATTTCTAATAGACTAAATATTGATAGAGGTAACCCACAGGAAGAAAAACTCTTTGGGATCCTTGATCATGTGTAAAGAAGTCTTGAGACCCCAAAATTTGAGATTTGTGAGACACAGCAGAGATACAATCTATTCTGTAGAATAGTTATTAAAATTTAACATACATATACTCACACATGTCATATATAATAAGAATACATGTCACAAAGACTATATTATGTATGTGAATATACATGTATGAGAATAGATGTAAGTATATGCACATAATAGACATTGTTTCTGACAGAAAAACTCTCTCTCCTCTGGAAAGTGAAGGAAGAAAGTTTAATATTTCCTAAGGCTAAAATTGTGTGTGTGTGTGTGTAAATGGACTATAAGACATCCATCTGTTTATCTCTGCTAACTTTGACTAATACTTTACAGCCTTCCAGGAAACAAAACTTAATAGCACTAAAAAGTGCTATCAGGTGACAAAATCTGGTCCAACCCTCTTGCTCCATCCCCTCAGAGCTTCATGCTTGGACACTCAGTGGCTGAAACAGCTGTGAGCACATCTGGCACCTAGGGGTCCTGGGTACTCAGAAGCAAACAGTGTAGAAAAGCAACTAGATTGCAGAACCTGCTTCCATCCTGGCCTGGGCCTCCTACGAGGTCAAACTTTGACCAGCAAAGCATACAATGTACATTGTGAGGTGCTAAAAGACAGGGTTAGGAAATTCCAGGTTCAAAAAAACTTGACTAGGTTTTTATAGGCTCAAGGGCACTGGGAATCTCTAAGAGAAAGATGTGAGTTGCAACATTTTCTATGTCACAGTTGTCCACAGAATCTACAAGCTGACCTGTCGGTGGACAACATTTGTGGGGCAAATGCTCTAAAGAACACGTGGGACCTGGGTCCACACTCTGGGATAGGATGACGGGGACCTGTTTGCACCCTCACAGGCCACATGGAACCCTCAGCGTCAGCCTGGCTGCAGCACCGGCAGACCTCACTTTGACCTCACTTTCTGCTCTCAGGCTGGGGGACATAAATAGTGCCTCCAGCACAGGGGAGACCCCAGCTGCTGCTTCGCTGGAGATCCAGCCATGACATTCCATGTGGCCAGGGAATGAACTGACAGTCAAACCGAGGTCGGTTTAGGCTGAATGGAGTCCAGAAAACACTGAATGGCTTTCACTTACCTGTGGGGAGAAAAGAACTGTCGCTAAAAGGGGCCATTCAAACCGAATCACGTTCGCTTGGCTGTGATTGGTGAGTGTGAAGCTCACGTTGTAGCTGTTTCCAACGTGACAGTCTCCAAAGTTGATGTGGTCCACCATGGACGCTAGAGGACAGAGCAGAAGGTGGGTCAGTCCTCCTGGCCAACTCCGAGGTGGCGGCTCTTGAGACATGCGGTGTCCCAACTTTGGCCAGCCCTTCCCTCCCTGGGCGGTTATGTCAGAAAAGCCTGAGCAGTCAGTTTCACTCCTAGGGGAATCTACTTATCGTCCACTCACCTGCCTGCTGCCTGCCCGCCCTTCTCCCTCCTTCCTTTTTTCTTTCCTTCAGTCTTGGCCCTCACTTCCAAGCAAACTCCATTTCTTTACTGAAATAGCACTATTAAGAGTGAAATAAGGTACAGGAGTCTCCTTTATGTTTGACTTACAGATAACCAATGAGGAATTTTTTTTTAAGATTTATTTATTTATTCATACAGAACTGGGGTACAGGCCAGAAGCTCAGGGGCAGTGAGAGGCTTCACCAGAGACAGAGTGGGGAGCAGAACAGGCAGATCGACGAAGTACACTGCTGAGGGGAGCAGCGGGCGGGTCAGGAGAGGTCTGCCACGCCATGTGGTGACCTCCGGGGCAGGCGGGGATCAAACTCATGCGGAAGTGGTTTCAGCTTCTTAGTGCAGTGCTTTAACCCACTGCGCCACCAGGGAGGGCCAACCAATGAGGAATTTTTAATGTAAGGATGCCCCATGCAGAATTTGGGACACACTTAAAATATTATTCATCATTTATCTATTCTGCCTGTCTAAATCTGTTGACCCTATAATAAATCTGAAGTCTGATTTGTGAACTGGGACTCACTGCCAGCACTGCTCTGACTCCTGACAGAGTGTCACTGTACATGGCAGGTGGGGGTGCGGGGGTGGACTCCAGAGATTTGAGGCACGTCCACTGAACCCACATTACAGGGACAGCCCAATGCTACATTCTAGGACGATAACTACATTCCTAAAAGAACTGTGGGCCTGTGTTTGAAACTCATCCCACACCAGTTATAGCCAGAGTCAGGGTGTGTAACAAAGGCTTTTTGATAACCACAAAGTAAACTTTCTCCTGCCTGCAAGAAGACAGCCCAGCAAAGGAGCCGCCACGCCTGGTAAGGTGTGAAGCAGCAAGGCTTAACTTGAACACACACACACAGATCACTCAGATCTGCGTCAGTAGATCCGGGTCTGAACCTCCAGTTCTAAGGTGCTCCCAGGGACGCCAGTGCTGCGGGCTCGAAGGGAGGCGGTGGCAGACAACACTCAGAGGTGACACAGGCAGGCCTGCGCCCCGCCATTTCTGTTAGCATGTCTAGGTCTCATGGTTCAGATGAAACAGACACAAGCCAGCAACAAGGTCTAGCAGGGAGCACTACAGAGAGACAAGCATTCATTCGCTTATCAGCTACTTGGGGATTTGAATCCTGCATTTCACTTATCATCTAGGTCGGAATTTGAGTTTAAATAGTAAACTCCCAAGCGCAAAGACTCATGTCCTAGAGCTTGCAGCTCCAGTGGAAGGCTTGGCACATGCACATGAGGCTCAGCAAAGGTCCTCAAACACGAGCGAGGGTGGCTCTGAGGTGGGCAGGGAGGCGCATACAGCAATGAAGCAGCGATTCCATCTGAAACCCCCAGAAGCCAGCTCATCTACTGTTTAAGTTCCACTTTTGGTCAACGTGACCCAAGTGCCAAAGGCTGCCCGCACCTAACGCTGGCTTCTCCCACCTGCCACCAGGTCTTCCATGTTGCCTTCCTCTGAGGTCTCAGTGACTTCTAGCATCTCCTGGCTGGTGGGTGTCACCAGCCCGTGGATGTTGTCCAAGGTGATATCATCCTCGTAGCCCTCTCCCACCATGTGGATGAACGTCTCCTCATACTGGTTGTTGATCACTGACAAGTGGATGCTGCCTGTCACTCTCCCAACCTTCTGGGGGTGGAAAAGGACATCAAATTCAGCCGTGGCTCCAGGGGAAACTACCAGGGAGGCTGTGTGAGCTTTCTTGGCTGCAAAGAGATGAGAGAACACACGATTTAGAACCGGCTGAGAAGAACATGATCTATAAAGCCCCGGACCCGAGGGACAGCAGTCCTAGAGTGGGAATGAGTCAGGCCTGGAGGGGCCATTGGTGTTAAGACTGACCACCCTGACTTGGCTACTGGGGACTCCCTAACTTGGCTACTGAGACCCATTGCCTTCTAGAAGCTACCCTCTTCACTCACCTTTTGCCTCTGGGGTGCTTTCCTCTATGATGTAGATGTAGGAGGTAGTAGGTTTCCCTTTCAGTGAGAAGACTCCTAGCTGGTCCTGCAAGTCAACATAAAGCTGGCGGAAGAAAAGCAAGGTTGAAGGATAGATTTATATGTTGCCCGAGAGTTCTGAGTCCCCAGTGAGAGATACTGTGCTGTTTGGGAAGAAGCCCACAAAGTCACTGCTCCTAATGCTCTCTTTTGGAATTTCTTATTAAGAGGGAGGCATCAATATTAGACCTGGTGAGAAAAACAGAAAATTGTGTCTAATCCTTGTAGTCCAAATGAGGATACTTCCCAGAGTACCCAGCTAAAGAGTGGCAAAATGGGGTGGGCCAGGCCTCTGTCATGCACAGGAGTTGTAAAATATACACTGATTAATGAAGTAGAAATGGTTACTTGTTCTTCTGTGAAGGTTTTCATGAATGTGAATTTCTAAAGACCAGCATCTCCAATGTACTAACTGCATGAGTTGCCTGATAATGTCATTAAGTATGATCAGAAGACGGACCGACTAAGAGGGAAAAAACATCAAGGTGGGCCTCCACCCTGCTTGGGGGAAAGGGATGTTTTCTAACCCACAGGAAGCCATACTTCTATCTGACTGATTAAAAAAAAAGCCATGTATCTGACTTTGGGTATTGGAAATCAGCAGACATTTTCAGAAGACTGCCACTATCATGAAAAAGACTGAATTATATTAAAAATGAGACACAGAGAAGAAAGAAACAGTGACATCACACAGAAGCTTCTGAAATTAAACAAAGAAAT